CAGAATCACAGCAGACTTCTCAATGCAAACCCTCAAGGCAAGAAGAGCCTGGAGTGATGTATTTCAAGTCCTAAAGAAAACAGCCTCCAACCCAGATTGATGTACCCTGTAAAACTATCTTTCAAAATTGATGGAGAAATAAGATACTTTCATGACAAAAAGCACCTCAGGAACTTCATGAATACCAAACCAGCACTCAAAAACATTGAGACAATATCCTAGAAAAAGACAATGAGGCTCTCAACCCCAGGAAGCCCAGCACAATGAATCCATCAGGTGTGACAAGAAATTAAACCCAAAGGGGGAGAATCCAACAAAAAGAAAAAGTCATGACAATGATAAGTCAATACCTATCAGTTGTAACCATCAATGCTAATAGTCTCAATTCAGCTATCAAAAGAAATAGACCGGCAGAATGGGTCAAGAAGCAAGATCCAACAATATGTTGCATACAAGAAACACACTTAATTCAAAAAGCAACTCATAGACTGATAATTAAAGGGTGGAAAACAATACTCCATGCGACAGGAACCCCCCAAAAAGCAGAAGTAGCTAGCCTCTTTGCAGATCAAGTGGATTTCAAACCAACACTGATTAAGAGAGACAAAAAAGGACACTGCATCCTTGTAAAGGGAACACTCCAAGAGGAAGAGATGACAATCATAAACATATATGCACCAAACACTAGTGCACCCAACTGTATAAAACAAATACCAACTGACATGAAAAATCAAATAAGCACTAATACAATAGTAGTGGGGGACCTAATACCCCACTGTCACAAATAAATAGATCAACTAGACTAAAAATAAGCAACAAAATACTAGAACTCACCATCAAACTCTTGAACAAATGAACTTAACAGATGTTTAGAGAGTGTTCCACCACACAAAATCAGAATATACATTCTTTTCAGCTGCAGAAGGGTTGTTCTTCAAAACAGACCACATACTCACCCACAGAACATGTTTAATTAAGTGCAAAGGAATTGAAGTTATACCCTGTATATTATCAGACCATAATGTGATGAAATTGGAGATCAATAGCAAAAGAAACCCCAAGAATTTCATAAACACATGGAAATTGAACAACACACTTCTGAACAATGAATGGGTCACAGAGGAAATTAAAGAAGAAATCAGACAGTTCCTTCAATTAAATGACAATGACAATACAACATAGGAATCCATGGGACACAATGAAAGCAGTCTTATGAGGGAAATTCATAGCAGTGAATACGCATATTAGGAAAACAGAACG